GCACATACCTCAACATCTCCTTCTTCATTCTTGGCTTCTTCAGCTTCCCTCTTCTGTTGTTCCTCCAACTCCTCAGCACGTCTTTTCAGCTCCCTTTCCACCTCCAGTGCATCCTGCACCTCCTCAATTTCAATACCACGGTCACGCATTTTTTCGTTCAGGATTCTCTGCTGTCTTTCTCTTTCCTCAGCTTCTCTTATACCACGTTCTGTGAACAAAATTATAATCTCATTTAGGATGTGCATTTATGTGATTCATGCTGATTTTTAGAGATTCCCCCACTATTTCTTGGTGTGTGCGAAATTTACATGTATTTTGATCTGCAAACTGGCAATGACCTCATGGCGGCAATTATAGAGAAAGTACTGTTAAAATGGTGTTCAGTTTAGATTGGATTTGGTTATGGATTGGTTTTAAGCAATAAAGTATCACAAAGACAAAAGTAAATTCAGAAATCTTACCTTCTTCTGCTTTTATTTTCAACCATTCCTCTTTTTCTTTCTTCTTCTTCTCTTCCTCTTGCTTTCTCCTAATATCTTCCTCACGTTGTTGTCTCCTAGCAACATCATCCAGCAGTTTTCTCTCCTGTTCTAATTTCTTTCTTGCTAGTTCTTTGGCTCTCTCCTCAGCTTCTTTTTTCTCCCGAAGTTTCCTTGCTCTCTCTACAATGATGCAATCAATGTTGGTTCACTGAGATTTTGTTTAAACAAACTCCAAGTCACCAAAAAGTACATTGTAGGCATTCTAGTTTTCTACTGTAAAATACTTTTTCGCTGAAGGAGTGATTCAGTGAAAATAAAATTCAGTGAATATACCTATTTTCCTATATTTTACATTCAACTCATCAAAAATAAGTGAAAATAAATTCCATACAAAATACCTAAAAACTTTTTTCAGCGAAAATTAATTCCAGCTAAAATAAAGTAATCTACAGTATTAGTATTCTTCAGTTCTCTACTTAGTTTTCATATACACTGCACCCTATACGCAATTCATTCAAACATACTATGGCTGTGAAGCGATAAACCTCGGTCCTAGCTCACAGTCGTAACCATGGTACTATTTTATCATCACATAAACCTCAGTTCTAGCTCACAGTCGTAACTATGGTACTATTTTATCATCACAATAAACTTTGTACTCTGCCAATAGCCTGGCACATAATTTAGTTTAATTGTAAATTTTCTGCATTTACTAGATAGCCTGTAAGTGTGTACTACGCTCACAGAAGCTTTCTAAAAACTGACATTGTTATGTAACATTTTTTTGTACGAGCCTTCTTCACACACGTGCATAGTTATGACTATTATATTGTAATTTCAACAATTATTGTAGTTGACAGTTAAAATGTCACCACCAAGAATTTGCATGATTTGAGGGTCTTCACCCTGTGCATGTAAAATTATAATACCGGTAATAAACAACGTAGATTTTTAATAGTTTCACGTTTTACTATTCGCAACAAATTTTTTTTAAATGTCACTGTCTTACAGCAGCCAACGAAATAAACTGATGGGGGAGATAATAACCTTCATCAGTTCAATAGTAATTTAGTGCTTGATGTAAGGACTCCCATGCATTGTAATATTATTTTATGACTTTCCCAGATTTGTGAAATTCAGGAAATATTGTCTCTCACAAAATTGAAACAGTTTTTCAACAGTTTTAATTAAGAAATACAAAGTATAAAATGAAGAAATAATATTTTTGTAGTACCTTCTCTTTCTCTTTCTTCTTCTAATTTCTCCATTAAGAGTTCCTGTCTGTTCGGAATGTTACACAAATCTACCTCAATTTCCGAAAAGGAAACTTTGCTGCCAGGAACTGGTCTACTTCTTACAAATTTATCCCATCGTCTTTTAGAGAACAGATCTCCATGGACAGATTCAACCATAAACCTTGGGAAATAAATCGTACATTGTTTGACAGACTTTTAGGAAATCAATAAAGAAAATAACAAAAATAAAGGAAATAATAAAGAAATTTTTTTTTGCAAAATTCAAAAGTTCAAGAGAATTCATTAGATCTCTCTGGAACTGATTATGGAACTCAAATTTATCAGTTTAAAATTAGAGAAAATGACTGTTTAGTTTAGAATATTTGATTTACAAATTGGTATCAAGACATTTAGTTAGAGATGCAACCCAATTTGACCATTACAGTTTATATTTGAGACTGACAAAAAAATGCACTGATTATACAAGTTATACAAGAATAGTAAACTCAAATATTGCATTTCTGGGTTTAACCTTCTTTAATAAAAGCACACATTACATTTATTGTAATATTAATATACATATATAATGATAATTACAAAATCCTGTGTAATTTACTAATAGAGCAAATATGGTGTACTACGATACCTGGCCTCGTCTTCAGTAATGGTATCGGTTTGTTCTCTGTCTAACAATGCAAACTCCCATCTGAAGTCCTGGACCAGGTAATACCTACGGTCCATTTCTTGTAAAAGGTCAAAGAGCTCACTGGGATCACATGTATCACTTGCACAGACATATAGCATCGCTGCTTTGATCTGATGGGGGAAGAAATGTAAGAGGTAAGGAGTCAGTAATATTTATAAAGCATGCATAACTCTTTGAAAGAATGCAGCACGAGATGACAGACTTGTTTTTACAGGAAATAACACACAAATTACCCATATCCATCAAAGTTATTTGGCAACATTGGATCACAAAATGTCTTTTTTTTAGAAAAATAAAATATTTAATTACCGGTATGTACATTCGTAAGGAATATCAAGAACAATGTCAATATATGTACACACCTAGAGTGGGCCTGGTGGGGAAGCAAATTTGCAAAAAATATGTTAATCATTATCTGGTGATTGACAATTTTATTTTCAGAGACAGTGTGTTTTCCTCAGGATTCTGGCCCAAGACAGAGGCTAATTTGCGTAATTTATTCATGTAATTTACATACATACAATGTACCTGCAATCACTCTCTAACACACACACACACACACACACACACACACACAAGCATACATTGGTCAACTAATTTTTCATTTACTTCAAATACTTCAGGTCATTAATTTTAGCAAACCTACTCAAACTGGGTTTTGAATGAAAAGTTCACTTTCAAACTTTTTATATTATGCTTCTTCTAGAGTGTATAATGCTTTATTGAATTGAAACACATACATGTAGTGCATCTATTATCAGCAAATAGGTCTTGAAAATCATTGAGGCTTTCCAATGTTACAACAGATAATATTTACTGACATTTCACATAAATACACACCTGTGGGAGACTAATTCCTCCTATGCGAATACTCTCGTGTAACAGTTGTAGTTCATGTATTTCCAGTTCGCCTTTCAATCCAACATCATACTGCCTGAACATTTGTTCCACGACTGCGAGTCTGTCCCCAACATCACCCATGGTGACCACGTGTTAGTTGAAGCTAGTTAGCAACTATGGACGGAATTGAACACTGATCTGAAAACAAAATAAACAATGTAGTTCTACTATAAGGGGGGTGTTCAATATCACACTGAGGGTTGTGGCAAGGGGGATATCAATGGTACTATACATGTATTTTCCTTATATCAGAGATCAAATATCCATTACACAAGATTGATGCTCACAAAGTCATTTGTGATTAGTAAGGTGATGACTGAATGATGTGGCCACGTCCAAAATGTGGAGTTATTTTCAACTGTGATGGGCTTACTTATATACAATATACATGTAGTAAATAAAATACAGCATCATTGATACAAACCATTGAAAAAAAATTCGGTAGAGAAAAAAAATGTTTGTGTTTCCAGTAATGAGCTAACATGATCCTAGGAAGGCAGACAGGTATTTTTTTTTATTTTCTAAATAGTGCTTTTTAACAAATTATTTTGAAGCGTTTTAAAGGGGTATGGTTGTCAGGCAGCATCCTGTTGGCTAGAAGACACATGGTAACATACACAATGTGTCTCAAATACATTGTTTACATGGAATTTGAATGAAGATCAAATCACTGTCTTTTACATTTCTTCTGTAATACTGATGTACTAGTAATATTAAGAAATAATGACCCCCAACTGCAAGTTAGTCACATTCATTGAATTTCTTAAGTCATATGATATCTTAATGTACCAATGAAACAAAATGTACAGATTCATAAAAATAAACTAATTTGCATAAATAAAAGTTTAAGTTTCACCAAAAATATCAGAAATGAGATGACTTTGGTGCTCAAAAGGTTAATTTGTTGAACTTTTTATTTTTCGATAAAACATACCATCTATAGTTTTTCTCAAGATGCAGTCTTCAACAATAAAGTAATCTTTTTGATTTTTAGATCTTCCTACTGAAGTAATACTTAGATTGTCAGTAAATACCTGTGGTATGCGTTTTTTCTACACGTTTCCAATATTGTGGATACGACAACTAATTGATCGTATAGTTCTGATTTAAATATATAGTTATCCAAAATAAACAAACACACGTCAACAGTGTACATGTAGGTGAACAGCCAGTCGGTTAATACTGTTACTAGCGCGCTCTGAGACTAACACACCCAGGAAATAGAAATTTCTTAAAAGAAACCACATTCAACTTAAAGGTTTTGATATTTAACAGATCTATAGAGACATGTAACTCACTCGGAGTGAAAAGATCACCTGTACACAGCCCCGAGAAATACCTGTACTCTGAACGCCATTATCTTGAAAGTGGATTCTGATGACGTCATGAAAGGAGTGCTGGTTATGTGGTCCGTTGGTTCTTCGCAATTTCACTGTTTATTTCAGTGCTTTTCATAAACAGATATTAGTTGATATATAAATTCTACGAAACCAGCGAATGTATTCTTTCGCATTTTTGAAAATTATGTTGGAATTAAAATCATTTGGTTTTAACCGTCTGCATATTGTCGAATATTTTGATGAAAATTCCAACGTGGGGATAGTCGACATGGCGGTGTTTCTCGTAGGGAGTTGATGATATTGTTTTGATCGGTGAAATAATTATTGCTGAATCGAAACAGCAAGTCCAGCGCTTCGCATTTTGTCACACTCTAAATTACTAAACCAAGATGAATGCAGACGTAGAATTTCACATTCGCCATAATTACCCGTGGACCAAATTACCGGCCAACATCAAACAGGTCTGTCGAAATTGTCAAGTTTTCTTCTCGCAATCATGTCCATTACTTGATCGTAATTTAGGATAACAATTCGATTTGTCTAGAATTTTAAGCCAAGAAATGACTATTTCACTGACTGTTCTGGTCGGTTTTGCTGTTCTGCGAAACAGTAAACGGTTAGAGCCGATGTAACTCGTGAGATCTCCGGAAAAGGGGGAGGGTCATCCTTTAATCTCTGAAAAGGGGAAGTTTCGCGTAATTGTGTGTGTGTGTGGGGGGGGGCATGCTATTATAACTACAATGTACTA